GTAATATGAATAATTCATAATGKTAAGCTTGCCAAAGAGAAATGTGCTTGCTTTCATCTTATTATTTCTGGATTATTTTCCCAAATACATTTTAATCATTATTAAATACATATTAATTTCTCTTCTAAAACTAAACACATTTTATTTCTAAGAAATCTAAGCTCCTGTGACAGAAAGGAGGAGGTGGGCAGGTTTATACAGTCTGTATTTCTTTTCTTAGAATGTGAGATATTTTTCTTAGCTGTAGCTGCTCCAGTAAGGCTTGATATCAGCCATCATTCTGAATCAGCCTTTCATCTTGAGAAATACATAATTCTTTTCCTCAGAGACCATCCTTGAGCTGCTTAATGAACCTCCAACAACCCAGCCTCCTGGAAAATCCTCTTCTACCGGAGTCACCCGAACAAGTTCTTCTAGGAAAGCAAAGACAACCCCACCCAGCAAAATAAAAGCATCCACGTTGAAGCCAGCTTCAGCTGGTAAAAAGACTCCAAAAAATAAAGCCAAGGYTAAGAACAAGCCAAAGCAGAAGGTGAAGGTTACAAAGGTTTCCAAAACTACACCAGCACCATCCTCAACAAAAAGGAACCCCCGCGTAACCAGAATGAAGAAGCTTCCACACAGAAAGGAGCAGTAAGTAAAGAGAAACAGGTGGAGAAAAGAACAGATTAAGAAACAGCTTTTGAAGCTGAGATGCCCCAAAAGCAATTTCTTTAGAAGATGATGAGTAATTTGGTAGGTAGAAAGAACACTTTCACTAGTGATCAGATTTAAAAAGATCAGTATCGGTAGATTGGTTATGCCAATGAAGTTTCTTGGGGTAAATTCAGTAYCGATACCAGGTGCTTCTCCATTAAAGCCAGTCTATATGTTCTATTAAACCTTAGCATGCTATTAAACCTTAATATTAGAATATTGATATTCTAATATTAGCTTTCTTTGCAGATACTATTATGAAGTCCTTTTCTGTCATAAATAGTTACGGGAGTGTCTGATAAATGTTTGCTTGTAGGATTTGGCTTTGTATGCMTCTACTAACAAATACAGGTACCTGCAGCTTTCAGAGCAGTTATAGCAGGCCTGCTTGTAGGTTTGCATCTCTGAAAAAAAGAATTTGAAATAAACATGTCTATGACCTTGCCTTTCCTTCAGTGTTGTTTTGTGYTCTCTTGCACACTGAATTGCATCTGAAATGTGGGGGTGGTTTGTTTTGGTTAAATGGTAGTTTCTTCAAGTTATGGATCACCTGCGATATAGGCTAGAACTAAATCCAAAATCTTTATCGCCCTCCCCTCAAAGAAAATGAACAAAACCCCAAATCACCCCAACAAGGCCAGCTGTGGCTGGGCACTTGAACTGAACTAACTGATGGCCTCTAACTGAACAGATGTTTTGTGTTGGATTCCTCAATCTCATGATGTTACAAAGTTCCTGTGTCTCCCACACTCTGTATTATACAAGCTGCAGGGAATGCTTGTGGGGTTTTTTGGTTGTTTTTTCCCCAAGGTACCGAGAGGGAGCAGAACTACAGTGACTTCTGCATGGTTGGTTTCAGCAGCTGAAAAGGCTCCAGCATCCGTAACTGTTTCACCAAGACTACTAGCACTCTGTGTGCGAGGGGTAAGACCCGGGCCATGCTCCAAACAGCCCCGTTTTCCCCACGGAGCAGGGGGAATGCTGCATTCCCTGGAGCTGCGGGAGAAGGGAATCTTTCCCCCAAACTCTGCAAGCTCTTTTGCTCCCCCGTGCTTTAAAGGCTTTCTTTAAGGCAGGGGAGCTGCAGCTCTGCATTCAGCAGCTTAGCCCCGCTCTGTGTGCAGCCCTCAGGAGCTCGTGTGTCTGGGGCAGCCACGGGGAGCTCTTCTGCTGCCCTCAAGCTGCAAGGATCCTGGCTTCAGCCAGCCTGGCCCTCGCTGTGCTCCCTTGCACACAGAGCACACTGTGAAGTTAATCTGCACAGGGATCCTTGCAGAGCTAAGCAAGTGAGGATCACTGCCRCGAACGGGCTCGTGTTATTTTTGGTGTGAGCAGGGGAATCCTAAACCTCAAATGTTCTTTTCCAGAGAAATCTATTTATTTGACTTGCAGAGCCACAATCTTGCTTTGCCTGGGCCAGCAAACTCATACCCTTAGGCTAAGATGGAGCCAAAACAAATTGCATCATTTTGCAAGTTCAAGGAGCTGCTTTCAAAGTTGTGTTTTCTCCTAGTGCCCTCTTCTGGGCTCGCCCGTTCAGCCGGGGACCCGCTGCTGKGAGGGGAACAGCAACTGCTCCAGGTGGAGCAACCGGCAACCGGCTGCGGGACTGGGGTAAGGAGAACATCCCTGGGGGGGGAAGGCAAAGGGGGCAGAGCAACCGCCCAGCTCAGCCCTCGGCTGCCCCTCGTGCTGGGGCGATCCATGGCGTGGGCAGAGCAAGGTGGAATAGCGACCTCGGCAGGTGCTGACACCCCGACAGAGAGACAAGGGGAGCTGSCACGTGAGGGAAGGTTGTCCAGGCCTTCCTGGACCAGCCAAGCTGCCTCCCAGCCGGTTGCTGTGACCCCTCCCAGCTGTTGCCGCTGGAGGACTGGCAACTTGTGGAAAAGGCAATGAGTGGGATGGCGCTAACAACGCGCTGCTGTTGCAGAACCCAGGGGCTTCACACGGCAACTGTAYGGGACGGGGAGTTCAGTGCAACCCGCCTCCAAGGTGGCCGTCTTCCCTCCCAGGGCTTGGTGCTGGCTCGGCTCTGGCAAAACCTTGGAGCTTTCCTAGGGCAGGGAGCAGGGGCAGGGAGGAGCCCCCTGAGGCACCGTGGCCGGCCCGGMGCTGTGAGGAGCCCTTGGCTCCAGGGAAGGGGTGTAGGGAGGCGCAGCCCGCGGCCCTGCCCCTCACCCGCACCCAGGGCGGGACCCCGCCCCAACGGCCGCCAACGGCCCGTGAGGCGGCCCCGGGGAGGAGAGGCGGCCCCGGGGAGGAGAGGCGGCCCCGGGGAGGTGAGGCGGCCCCGGGGAGGTGAGGCCGGGGCGGCTGCGGAGGAAAATGTCACCCGGTCGTGGGGATGAAAAAAAAAGGGATGAAAAAAAAAAATCAGCCGACAGGCCCCAGCGAGGATCGAACTCGCGACCCCTGGTTTACAAGACCAGTGCTCTAACCACTGAGCTATGGAGCCGCCTATCAGTTTGGGCGCTGCCGACGGGTGCTGTGCGGCGCGGAAAGGGCGCGCGGCGCCGCGGGGCCCTGGGGGCCGCGCCTCGGGCAGCGCCCCGCGAGGGGGCCCCGCGAGGGGGCAGCGCGGGGCCCCGCGGCCTGGGACCCGCCCGCGGAGGGGCCGCCGGGGCCGCCCCGCGTTGCAGGGAACAGCTGCACACGAGGCCGTGTTCCGCAAAGGGAAATCTCCTTTGTTTTTGTTTTAAAAGGCAGTTTGGAGGTTATCATCGACTTGGTGGTGTTAATTTTACCGTCTTCTGTGAAGCCTGACCCTGTGGAAAAGCTGTGCGTTAGTGTCCTCCCAAGGGAACCACGCAGTGAGGTYGGTGAGGGAGGGGGTGACCTGCACTACACGCAGCTATCGACTCCTTTCCATTTCACGGGACCGTGAGGGTTTGTGCTTGGTCTGGGGCAATAACGTTCCCGTCTCGTCTTCCGGCTGCTGTTGTTGCTGCTGGAAGCCACTGGGTGGAACCGAAGTACTGTGTGAAAGGAGGGGGATCATACTGACCTCCTAACGGACTGTATTTATTTATTTATTTATTTATTTTTCAACCTCTAGGACTGTTTAGCTTTAAGGATGTTCCCCAGGTGTGAAAAGATCTAGGTTTGTATATAAAATTTCTTCTGATTGGATCAGGATTTGTACTGTGCTATCCCTTGGCGTGTTGAGTTTTTCCTAAGCATTCCCTCTTTTCACCTGGCTCAGTGAGTTAGTGCTGATTGCAGGAGCAGGGCTGAGGAGAGCTGCTCAGTGAAGAGCAGCGGCAGCTCTTGCTGCAAACGCGGTGTTTGCAGAGCGGAGTCGTCATGGCCTGAGGACCCCTGTCCCCTTCACGGCCAATTCTCCGAGCCCTGCGGCTTGTCTAGTGGCCCGTGGTCCCGCTCAGCAGCCGCCCAGGCCAGCGGAGCCGGCACCCCTGCCTTTCTGTCCACCTCTGTGAGAAAGGCCTCGCAGCTCCCGACCTTTCATGAAGCTGGAYGCTGTGAGGGTTTTAGTTGTGTTCCACGCATCCAGAAATATTATTGCGTTTCTTAGAGRAACCCTCTAGTAACTTAAAGGTCTCTGTATGCTTGATATATTCATTTTAACTGTCACGTTCTAGTGAACAACTTCGACTTGTACAAACACCTTGTGTTTCTATCGATTTGGGTGGATTTTGGAGCTGGTTTGAGCATTGGAAGATCTCAACATGTAGTTGTCTTGGCTTTGTTTCACGTGAAATTTGCAGTTTGACCAAGATGTGTCTGAGGAAACGTCATATTGTTCTGAGATTCTCTGGTTTTGATCCAAACTGTCCTTTTTAAAAGACACCATTCTTCAAATTACACGTTACATCCATTTGTCCTTGACACGTGGAATAGAACACAGAACTATGAGGGAGAACTAGACAGAGCCAGTAAATATAAATTTCCATGCTCTTTCGCTAACAGGTGCTGAGCCACATAGGAGCGAGGTGTTGTATTTGAGAAATACGCCCCAGTATCCAGAGATACTATGGGTTGTTGTTTATTCTGTTCCACCTGTGACACGTTGCTGCACTACATCTACAGAGACGTGCTCCGCTGTCTTGGAATAAGATGTTCTGTTTATTGAATTTGAAAAGTGTCATTCTATATTGGCATCTTTTCTTGTCATTGCAATGTTTTTAAGAAGCAAATTGATGCAATTAATTTTAGTGCTGAAGTACTGGAACACTCATGACATTTGAGAATAGTGATTAGTCAAATGCTGAGAGCATTTATTCAGTTAGACTCCTGCTAATATGTTTCTCTAGAAACACTGTTGGGTGCTTTTCATTAAAAAAAAAAAACCCAAAACAGCTACTGCTGCAGCATAGGCAGAGAAGAAACAATGATAAAAAACCCCACCCTGTTGCATGCAGATTACGACCACTTTTATGTGTCATAACAGAAGTAACCCAACAAATTGGAGACCACCAACAATGCAAAGTTTTGTGAGAGCTCCTAAACAACTCTTGCTTTTAATGAAGAACTATTTTTTTCTTTTTGAAAGAAGTCCATTTATTTTTGCCAGATCTCCAAATGAAACTGTTGCAGAACCTCTCTGGGCTGGTTTTGCCTATAAGAAAAAAAGGAAGATAAAATGCTGATGTTTTAAGTTAAAGTCATTTGTCAAAAAAAAGACTTCAGAAATCAGTCACTTAAAATGACCATACTTTCAAACAAAAGCTAGTAATCAAGAAAGTCTGAGCATTTAGCAATAGTTTAGCTTTATCATACCTGTGATTCATGGAATTTCCAGCCTATCATGTAGTATATCTGAAATGTGGCAGGAATGGAGCCATCACTATTGCCATACATTTCTGTTATGGTAGGGAGGGAGAGAAAAGGTACACAGAATATTAGTTCTAAGAGCTCACTAGTTCACAGAACATTAGAACCAAGTACAACATTCATCATCATCATGGCTCTTGCTGAAGGATTTGGGACTACAAAATTGCCTTTACTGCTATATCAACCTCGTTCAAATCCTGTCATTATAACTAAGGTTAAAAATATCTGTATTATGTTACTTAGTTCTCATGTGTTTTACATAGAGGTCAAAACAAAACATAAAATATATGTTTTTCAAGTCATTCCAGGTTAATGTGTTGCCTATTAAATTACCTTTGTATATTGCTGCAGCTGCCAACATAGTATCCCTGTGTAGCAGAGGTTTTCTATTCCAAGAGCAGTTACTCTCTCCCATACCTAAAAATATGTTTTAGCTTTAAGAAAAAGAAGATACAGCATATAACATGAGTTAAGTCTCATGCACCAATCACCAACTTCTATTAAACCAGAATAGGTATAGATTCTTCTGAATATCTAGCTGGAAGCAAGCAAGCAAGTACAAGAAGTCAGGAGAAATTCTTAACTATAACAAAGCCTTTTGATACCCATGCTTTGCAATTTATGGCTTGGATTGCTAGCAATGATTTCAGGTTATTACATCTTTAACAACAGTCTTCAGATATTTCGACTTTCTAGTATAACTTTTAAAACAAAGTACAAGGTGTTTATTCATAGACACTGCAGAGACTGCACACACTTCTTTTATATTCCAGAAGACTTCTAATAAGAAATCGAACTGCAAGCTTACTCTTGGACAATCCTGCATCAGAGTTTTATTTTCATTAAGGAACTACCATAAACAGCAGCAGCTGATCCAGGTCTAGAAGATGCCCTAAGCTGCTCCATAAGTAACTAYCGAGTTGTATATGAACAACTACTTTACCATCTCTGACAAGTGCAAGCGTGACACTAACTCAGCTGTTAAGAAACCCACTTGCTAAGTCTCTTGCTTTCCCCAGCAGACTCCAATTTGAGGGTCCAAGACAGTGTCCTGACCCTCCTGCCTGCGGGTTAGCAGGCCCGCTGCCTAACACGGTGACTGCCCAGTCACGCTGGGGGAAGGAGCTCTGGAAGGGGAGACAGAAGCCCGTTCAGCAGCTCACGCAGAGCAGGCTCCCACGGAACGGGAGTACTGCAAGAGATCAGCATTCACAGCAGAGCTCAGTGGAACAAGTTTTCTTTTTTTTTTTTTTTTTTTTTTTTAACTTCTACACAAAACACATTTGCTGATGGGTACAATCTTCTGACAAGAAATTAGGGGAAAAAAGTAACACTTTTTTAAGAGAAAAATGAAATTTGAGGAAACAAAATTAAAACGGAGGAAAAGGCATGTAGCTTCTCATCTGGRCACAAGATTGGTATTGGCAATTACGCTGGTATCAATCTGTATCCATTTATAAATATGTGAGGAGAATTCACAATGCTACAATTCATATTTGTTAGCACAAAAATAGTTTGAGAAAATAGAAAGAAATAAAATAAGTTTTATCTGGAGTGAAGAAACATGAACTCCTCTATGTCTACATCACTGTTACAGAAAGTGCTCATGTTCCCAGAAGTCTATATACTTGCCTTGTAAGTCTTCCATAAGCTCAAACAATCCTGGATAGTTTACTTGAATTTCATCAGTGTCCTAGAAGGATTCAGAAGCTTAATTTTAGAGCACATCAAACTAAAACCATAGCATTAACTTTCAGAACAGCTAACAGAATATATCTGTGATTTTAAGATGCTTATTTTTCCAAAACCACCTCACTATTTTTAAGGAATTTTGTTCAATATCCCAAATTTCTCAAATGCAACCAAGTTTAAATTGAAGTGCAGTTCTTTCTATCTTGGTCTTACATAAAGCAGCAAGAGTGTTCTAAGATTTTTCCAGTAGGTCTGACCTCAGATACATTTCTSCAAGTAGACCATCCAAACTTTGCAGGACCGCAAACCAAAGACGCCCTGGAGCTGATTCCCTTGATCACAGTAAGACCAAGAGAATTGGACCAAACTAGTTCAAAAATGATTCAGTAATGTGTTTGATGTGCGAAGTGMGGCAGCATTTCAATCAAATATTCTCAATTTGCTAGCCACTCTGATGTTCTGAGTTGTTTTATCTGACTGTTCTTGTATTTGTAGTTACCACAGTGAGGGTGTTAAAGCCAGCTCTTGACAGCAGATGCCCCAAGTCAGAGACAGCAGTGAAGGGTGATACATGAGGAGAAAATCCCCCTTCTCTCTCTAGCTCTGCCAGCTGCAGGGAGCAGCGAAGCTCATACAGAGTGTCTCCTCCAAACATCGCACCAATAAACACTCCATCCGGCTTAAGTACTTGATGAATCTACAACACAGAAGATATAATATTCAAAAAAAACTGTGAAAGTCTCTATTTAACTACAAAGTTCTTAAGGACCCTTTTTATCAACTTAAAACCAACCATTAAAAATGTAGTGATACACATATGGAAAAAATCAATTAAAATTAATCACTTCATCAGAAAGTGTAATTGACTAAAACTTAAAAAACCCTCAAAACTCTGCGATTAGTCCAAATCCCAGTGATTTTCAAAAGTCAAATCAATTGTACATCCACATACACAAGTGTTATTGCTTTGCATGCATGACTCGGGAAAACTTGGCCTTTAAAAATTGTATCCCCAAGGCAAGCTGTGAGAAACCTTTTAGAAACATGGCAAGATGCAGAGATCTGTCTGAAGAGAGGCTATTTGTTCTTATGAATGAATCTGTAGCCATTACACTCTTGGAACCAGGAAATACGGAATGTGCAAGTAATCAAGGGCAAAGCTATTTTTTAAAAAAAATAAAGATCTCTGAAAACAATATCCTTATGAATTTAATTCTGGGGAAAAAATGTAGTAGCATAAGATAGCTTTTATTTAGTTTTATTTTCTTACACAAGGCAAGGAAAAAAAAAAGCCATTTGTGAATGTCTTAAGACAAGTGGAGGCCTTAGTTTGTCGTACTGATTTTTGCACTTCTGAATGCACAGTGCAGTAATGCAATGCTGGGTACATCCACCTCGACGTACTTTTGACTGGTCAGAGCAGCAATACAATCACTCAATCTGCAAGTCTGACAGAATGAACTTTTTTGTAAGTTCTTGTTCCCTTCCTAGTGAGGACACCAACAAATTCAAAGTTTGCTTTTTGTTAAGAATTGGCAGTCATCCCTTGTTCAGCCATCCAGAAGAGCTATATTGCATTACCAAGCTTGTAAGACAACAAAAGCTTCAAACACAATTTGCCTTAGTGACGTGAAATATGTTTTTTAATCAGTTATTAATTAAGATATCTTCTTTATGCCAATAAAGAAATGAGTTTCTTACCTCTCTAAAGGCTTTAGGAAGGTCATTCACCCAATGTAAACTGAAATGCCAGAAGTATATTTATTATATAACATATTAAATACAATTTGTAGAAAGGCAAATATTTGTTAAATCATCTGTGTTTCAGAAGCCAATGTAACAAATTTCTCAAGTTGCAACAGTGCAAAGAGCAATGAYATCACGTAAGATCCAAAGCTTATATAAATTACATTTTTTTGTTGTTTTAATAAGAAAAAAGTAAGATGCTATTCCTGGAGACCAAGTAGTCAAAATGCAGCAAAAGAAGCTATGTGTGTCTTCAAGGAAGAAAATAGCTCAGTAAGGACCACGTACAGGATTTCTTCCTGATAGTTGCTTATAACTTACCAAGAGTATTTTGTACAGCAGTACTTACTGCTGTTTAATGGACTATTTCTCTTTGTTTAATTATTTCTCTTTTTTTTGGTGGGGTGAGAAGTAGGGGGTGAGCAAGGTCAGTGGGCAGGGGGAGATGACTCTGAAAAGAACATTATTTAACATCTTCATCAAAACCTGAACTATGAACAAGTGAAAAGAAAAAAAAAATACAGACCTTAAGCTGCTAACGACAAGATCAAAGGTATCTTCTTTGAAAGGAAGGAATTCCTCATCAGCTACAACACTGGCCGTAGGTATTTCAGTTTCCGTAGTACTTTTCTAATGTTGGGTTAGAACAAAAACATCAGAAACTTGTTTCTTTTGTTTTTCTGAATTGTACAATTGAAACATTGCAAATAATATTCAGGAAGCTACTTACTAAAGCATTCTCTGCAATATCTACTTGAATGAGTTTTTCAACAGTTTCCTGAAATAAGAAGCATCTGTCAAACACTTAAGTTGTTTCATAAACTGTATAAACTTTTTAAATAAATTCTTATAGTTTATAAAAACTATAAGTCATCTTTGGGGATATTTACATATATTCCCTATATATATATTTCCAAATATATATGCATTCCAAATACACATATAATCTGCATTTTTATGGCTAGATTTAGATGGATATAAACTGTATAGTAGCAACCAGTGAAGCCCCTTTATTCATGGCACAGTTCTTGAAAAGTGGGTTCACCTCTTTGRAAGTCTTCACAGTATTTCTCACTAACAACCTTACTGAGGGCCACAAACTAACCATCCGCCTAAATAACCAGATGCATGGATGGGTAACTGAAGATTACCTRTCATATAACACAGCTTCACTTGCACTACCACTATTGTTGTTCATTTAATCTTTAGGGATATGAGTTACTTTAAGGTAACAGATTCAGTACAAGATATCTTTAGGCTGTACAGAGAACTACTTCATCAAGGTGGGGAGGGTTGTTTTAAGCTATAACTGCATCCTGCCAACATGTTGTCTTTTTAAACAACACCCACAGCAAGGGGCAGTACCTTTGTTAAATGTTGAGCTATGTAACCTCTTCCAGAGCCAACATCCAAAGCAAGAGGGAATGTTCTAAAAAGACAGATTTTGCATTATAAAGCATACGTACAAAAAATGCAGTTCCAAGGTATGTTTGGCGTGGTAACTTCCACACACCCTTCCTGGCCACACACGTGGTTGTCACTGAGCATCCTTCCAGGCGGCACTAGCAGCGCAAAACCTTAGCACTGGCACAGGCTGCCCAGGGAGGYTGTGGAGTCTCCTTCTCCGGAGGTCTTCAAAACCCTCCTGGATGCCGCCCTGTGCCACATGCTCTGGGTGTCCCTGCTGGAGCAGGGGGTTGGACCGGATGATCTCTAGAGGTCCCTTCCAACCGTGGACATTCCGCGGTTCTGTGAAAACCCGCCCGCAGGCCACACGAAGGTCTCCTCCGCAGGCGCGCCCGGGAGGTGCGGGGGAAGGCGCGGCGCCCGCCGGGGCTCACCTGGTGATGTCGAACACCCTGTCGGCCACCCTGCCGCCGACCTGCGGGGACACGCGACGGGCTGAGCGGCGGCGCGGCGNCTCCTCGCGCAGGTAGTCGCGCTCGGCGGCCCCGGGCTGCCGCGCCGCCCAGTTCTTCTGCTTCCTCTTCAGCCGCCGGTCGAAGGGGCTCAGCGCGCCCGGCGGAGCTGCGGCCGCGCCGCCCGCCGCCTGCCCCGACGGCGCCCACAGCCGCCGCTGCCGGCTGCTGCCCCAGCCCCAACGCCAGCCCCTCGGCGCCACCCCACCCCCGGCAACGGCCGTTGCCCCAACGGCCGCCGCTCTAACGGCCGCAACGGCCGCCGCCGCCATGGTCCCCCTCTGCGCATGCGCCGCCCAGCCGCCAGCCAGCCCCTCCCCGCGCGCTGTGACCGGCTGCGAGCGGCTTGTCCCGCGCCGGCCGCCGTCGCGCTGCCGGAAGCTGCCGGGTCGCGCGTGGGGAGGTGCCGGCGTGGGGCGGCCGCGGCGGAGCGGTGAGTGGGGCCGGGGGGGGGGCTCGGCCCCGTCCCGGCTGCGGCGGAGCCGTTGGGGCCCCTCGGGGCCGGCAGCCCGGCAGCCCGGCGCGGCTGGGCTGGAGCTGCCGCTGGAGCTGCCGCTGGAGCTGCCGCTGCCTCGGGGTCCCTTCGTGCCGCGGCTCTGCGCGCCCAGGCCCGTGGCTTCCCACACCGCCCCGCGAGCTCCCGGGGAGGCCCGTCGCGAGCGCGGGCTGGACATCGAGCGCCCTCCAGGCCTCGGTGGCTCTTTCACTTGGGTGTCTTCAATTAATTTAAAAACCTTAAAACTTATTTAAAAAACTCAACTTATATTTTTTTCCTTTGTACTGCAGTTATTCAAGCCTTTAGTAGCATCAGAAATGGCGTCCCAAGAGGAGATCCTGTGCGATGAGCGGTTTAGCTGTGTCACGAGGGACCCCAGGTTCTGGGAAATACCGGAAAAGGAGTACAAAGTGAAGATCGACAAACGCTTCCGATCCATGTTTCATGACGACAAGTTCAAGCTGAAATGCTCCGTGGATAAAAGAGGTCGCCCCGTCAACTTCAGCTCTGTGGAGAACCTCAGGAACTTTTATGCCCTGTCGGATTCGGACTCTGAGCTTTCAGAGAGCGACAGTAAAGCAGGTGCTGGAAAAAAAGTGAAGAMAAAGAAAGCTAAGCCTGAAGGAAAAGCAGATGCTGCAAAAGGAATTGCTGATGGCCTTCCCAAGGAGGAGAAAAAGACAAACAAGAAAGGGAAGGGCCATACTGGTAAAACTGCACCTAAATTAGATGACCAGCAGGATGAAGGAGAGAAAATTGCACCTAAATCCAAGTTGAAAGAAGACTGTAAGAAGAAAACCACAGCTGAAGTTGATCACTCATCAAGTGGAAGATCCCATTCAGTTCAAAATGAGCAAAAGACTTTGAAGTCAAGTGGTGCTAAACCAGTGAAGGCTCCTGGCATGGAATGTTCTCKAGGAGGGAAAGGAAAGGAATCAGGTTTGTCATTAGTGAATCAGGTGCAGAGGTTGGCACGGTGGTTTCCTTGGGTGATGTTTGCAAGACGAATCACACACCCAGCTACCCAGTCTGGATTCRGTATTGCTGAAAAATGAGGTGTATCTGGGTCCTTTTTATTGTTGAAGATGAAATTGAGGTTGGGGTAGTTGGAAAACTAAAACATGCAGTAGGGTATATACTTGTGTATTTATTAAGCTGAATAAGAATGTTAAAGACCTGAATGTTTCAGAACATCAGCAGTTGTTGATTGAAAGCAGGACGGCAGCATCGAGCCCTTAGCTTGAGAGGGATGAGGTATTAAAAGACTGCTGACAAGAACTTGTTTCTTTATATTGAAAAGATTGAAGAGTTTGATAAAATACAGATTAAAGACATCAACAGTGAAGGCTTTTACCTCTAATGTATCTGCAATCATCGTAACAACTGCCTTGTTTTCCTATGGACAGGATAAAGYGCACAAAGTCGTGGCCAGAGCCAAACTCACTAGTGCAGGGAGAGCAGGTGACTTGAAGAAAAGCTTCCGTTCTTTTATTTGCGCATTTGTGTAGCCTACATTACTGAAGTTGATTTTTACCTGTAGCTTCCATATCGAGAAATAAATAATATATAAATAAAACAAAAATTTAAGTTTAAAAAAATATTTCTCGGATGTTGAGATTGGTTGTACAGTTGTTGGCCTAAAGAGCAATAGATTTGACCAGCTGAGAAGGCAATACTGGTGACTTATGTTGTTTTGTACTTGCCTGACATAAGTTGTTGCTGTATCATTATACAGCTATACAGTTTGTAAACTTACAGGAAGATAGCTGAGATTTTTTTTTTCTCATTGTAATGACTTATGTAGTTGCAATGTAAAAGTAGATCTTGAACATTTGTTTTTCAGTGACTTTGGGCACATCCACCTGTGATCAAAATGACGTCAATAAAAGTCAACTAGAGGAAGAAATTTCTGAAAGTGAAAACTATTCTGAATATGCAGAATCTGAAGAAGAGGAGTCAGAAGATGATGGGGAAAGAGGCAGTGAAGAGGAGTCGGAGGATGAGGAAACAGATGAGGAGGATAGTGATTCAGAAGACGAAGAAAGCGATCTTGAGCCTGATCTAGCTAGGGGCAGGGGGAATATTGAAACAAGCTCCGACGATGATGAGGATTTCAGTGACCTGTTTCCGAAGGAGCCAGAGATTGAGCATTCATGGGGCGAGCTAGATAAAGATGCACCTCGTGGAGACGAGGTAACACTTGAAAACTTTCTCTTTGGGCAGGTGAAAAGTTGATGCATCACTAATTAATTTGACAAATGAATATGAAGCTAAAGACATGCACTGTGATGAGTTCGTTGCAGACCATCTATGAAACAATCTGCAAAAGTACTTTTAAATTTTATGTGTTACCTCTGTTTACCCAAGCATGGATAAAGTATCTATACATGAAGGGATCAACAGGATAGAGCTTTCCACACCTTCTACCATTTGAATTTCTCAGTGAAACACTGAATATTTCACTTTATTTCACTTGCACTTTTTTCAGCTGTATTTTCTTCTAAAAAACCATAATTGCCCTGCTTTCAGTGTTAGTGTAGTTTAGGCTTGAGAGATCCTTTATTAAGATTACTTACTTTATAAGATTAGTATATTTTAGAATTCTGGTAAGCCRTCATGAGTTTTCATTTTCTTTCACTACAGAAAAAGCCCTATCAAAATCTGTAGTGCATTAAAAAATAAGTTCTGTTCTAATATTACAGGTATGAATATTTTTCTTGTGTCTGTCGTGCTACGTGACCGTTCTCATCTATTGTATCCTTTGTCCCAAGAATTGCATGACGTGAGCTCCATCTCTGTATCATCTCTCTCGATCAYCTGTATTTTTCTATCCGTGTCTTAACTAATCTTTCTAACTGAAAACTAAATCTTTCTAACAATTGCTACCACCACTGCAGCAGTGTTACTCTGTTTTACCTTGGCTCAAGTGTTGTTGTTTTCAGTTGCTGCTCAATTGCATCAGACTTTAAGGAGGGATAAGTACCTCATACTRCACTGATCTGAAAACTAGACTTGTAGTGAGCAAACCTGCATTTGCTTCTGACTTATCAAGGGTAGAATTCTTAATCTTTTAGGTATTTCTAATTGCCTCATTAAGAAATCATTAGACAGTGAAACAAGTCCCTGACACTCTGCACAATTAGAGTGAAGGACATGAAAATACTGTTCAGCACTGTTACAGTATCTACCTGTAAGTTTCTGTTATATAGGAAGTTACAGCAGCAGCCAGTATCACAGTATGGAAACTGCAGTGCTAATTCTAGCATTGGTGCAGACCAGTCTGTGGTGTCTAAGGTTTTGTATCTTTGCCACTGCTCTTTGATTGCTGTTTCTGAGCTTTTCTACTTTGAACAATACAAGGTATTGAGAAAATGTTGCTTTTGTGTTTTCAGTGAATTTCATTGTTGCCTTTGGATTTACCAAAGATGGTTGCTGTCAATTCCCCTTAGCAGTAGTCAGGAGTTAAAGCTATAAACCTTCCAACTTTTTTTTTTTTTCTTTTTTTTTCCCTCTCCTTTCTATGCAGATTACAAATAGATTGGCAGTTTGTAACATGGATTGGGACAGGCTGAAGGCTAAGGACCTGCTGGCTCTGTTTAATTCTTTCATACCCAAAGGAGGCATTATATTTTCTGTTAAGGTAAGATCTGAGTTCTAAAAGAAGTAGTGCTTTTTACTGTAAAGAAAAAAAATAGTCTACAGATCAAAAAAAAAGAGAGAGATAGTTTCTCATTTATCTTGTTAATTTTTCTCTTCGTTATTCTGCACAACTATTTGTGTTAGAATTTAATTTGCTGTTACAAATAACCATGTGCTTCTTTTTAGCATTGAGCATGTACATGAAATTAAATCTTGAAGCTGTTGGCTCCTTGGTTTTGTGAGGTTGGCTCTTAAGTGTTGTTTCACTGAAGTTTACAGTGATGTTTCTAGATTCTATCTGGCTTCATTGGCCAGATTAATTTTCGGTAGTCACTATGGCTATTTCCAGATGCTTTTCAGTCCTTTTTGTTGTTGCATAATACTGCTTATCTTTTGCAYCAATTTTGAGTTACTTGCAAATTGGCTAAATACCAATCAGTTAAATGATATATTTTTTTATATGCCTTTTTTTAATGTCTGCTTGCAGTTAAACTTTGGGAGAAGTTTTAGCCAAGTTGCAGAAAGGCTGTTCTTGCATATA